ATATTATAACACAATATAATACAGCTATTCACCAATAAATTATAACATTGCATAATTATCAATTACACGTTGTTAAATCATTTCTATAATTGAAATTATGTTTAATAAAATATCAACATTTAACCGTTAAACAATTAAAATTTATAATAAAATTTTTATCTACAACAAAACAAATATGAATATTAGCACAAAAAGTTACATTCATAAACTAAATTTAGAAATCATAATTATTTGTATAATCAGGCGCTCGAAACCATGCATTCCGGGCACTCGTCTGACGAACAGATTTAATTCTATTGACAATCCTAACGATATTATTATTATTATTATCATCGATGGACATTTGTCTCAAAACACCTTGATAATATTTCATTTCATGCGAATCGCCTAGCCCATCAAAATACATGGTCACTTTATCAGTGGGATCGGTCACTATTACCACTACCGGTTTTGGACAACTCCTAAAATACACTTTTGGGTCAAATCGATCAAGATGATAATACTCATCTAGTACATTTAGCGTATAATAATCTAGCGTGCATAGATTGCTAAGATTACTGCTCACTCTTGAGCGTAGGCATTTGTCTTGAAAATTGTTCATGTTTATTTTAGTGTTTTTAGCATAATTAGTTGCCATGGTCACTAGTTTAGCCGGATGTGCCGATTTAATTACGCTTGCCATTAACGCCACAAATTGTTGTACTTGATCAATTTTAAGTTTATCATTTACCATGGTGGCAATTTTTAAACACGGATTAGTGTTGGTTGGATCGTTGTTGATTAACAATTCAACATTGTCAATTAGATTATAACCAGCCAGTGCTGGCCATTTAGCCAATTGCCCAGCCAATCGAATGAGCTTGTCTAAATAATCCATTTGACCTTTGTCACCGAACAAATGATCAAGTTTATTTACAATATCTGTGCCCATCAATAGATTTATTATGACAAACAATTTATTATCATACGCGTTTTCAAGTAGCATGTTTAGTTTTCTAAGCAATTTGTCCATGTTGTTATATTCATTATATTGTATGTTAATTTGTATAGTGTTAGCACCGGTACCTCCGGCGCTGATCAAGTTCAACAAATTGTCATGATTGTTTAGGGTTGTTAAATCTATCGATAGAGCTAATCCAATGAGCATGGTGCGTTGATTTTTGTATGTAAATCTATAGTCACCTTTAGAATGATGCGCAAACATTCCATCTAATTAAAAAATTATTATTTTATATTATATTAAAATAAGGTAATTATACTGTATATCCACTAGTAGAATTAAAATTTAATTTGTTCTTTTAGACAGATTAAAATTATGACATGACTTGCCTGAATAAATATAATCAAAAGCATCATGTTCATCATTCATATTACTGCAAACGTTGTCCACTTTATCATCATCATACTTCAAACAATGCATTTCCATTAGCGAGTAATCGAGAAAATGCGGCCGTTTTTCATTGATCAATAGTCGATCCAACAGTACCTTCACTTCACTCGTCGAGTAGAAATAATCGGAACCAAATTTCTCTTAATTGTCATAAATGTAAACATGGTATAAATATTTTACAATATTTTTTACAATCATTACAAAATAAAAAAAACAAATATACAAATAAGGATTACTATCTATTTAAGAAATGATAGGTAACAATATATTTTATTTTGCAATGATAAATATAAAATAAAAATCTAGAACATTGACGTACCCGTTAACTGTAATTCATCGATGCCAAACAAACCGATAACTGTAGCAGCTTTAATTTGATGGATATGATTACCTTGTAGTTTAAGCACTTTGAGCGAGGTGAGCCATTCTTGCAACGAGTCAGGTATTACCCGAATGCGATTATCGCGCAAATCTAAGTGCCATAGATTTTGCAAACTATTTTGTGCCAATAAAAATGTCATATCCCATATTTGATTATTGCGCAACGTAAGCATTTTAAGCTTGGTAAATAGTGTAAATTGATCATTAAGATAAATATCGAGGTTTACATTTTGTATTGTCAAACTCATTAGATTTTGCCAGGGTAAATTTGCAATATTACTGCCTAATGTGTTGTATTTGGCACTAATGTTTAAGCTATTAATCAATAGAGTTTTAAGCTTGGTAAACTGTGACAATTGGGCTAAATCAAACGGACCACCATAATCTTTTGGCATTTCATTTTCCAGCAACATTATGGTGTTTAAATGCTCCGGGTCAATACCGTTAAATATGTTAACCCCTGGTGTGTCGTACAATTTACTAGATGATATGATCAATGTGCATATTTTGTGATTGTTAAATATTTTATCACGAGCCAACGATGAAAGATCTACTTTTTGCATGGTCAACGTGTTCAATTTATATTCTCTCATTGCCATAAGTTGTATTTTTTGAACGTAATCGTCCATGCTCATGTCGCAGGTTACGCTGTACATTGCATCAGTACCTGTGCCACCACCTTTATGAATAAGTAAAGCAACCATGCACATTTAATAATTTCTAATAGTAAATCTAAATACAATTAAAAAATAATTACCGTTATTAACGCATTTACATGACCTGGGACAATCACTCATTGGTAACTCAGTAACACAAGCCAGACATAATAATAAAACAACACATATAACTCTCTCAAATATAACTAGGTCCATAATTAAAATGCACAGCTTACAAAATAAATTACACTCTCACTAAGATTCACTTAAATTGTATTTTATTATAAATATTTTGTAATTATTGTGATTTTTATGAACAAGTACAGTTTAATACTCAATTATATAATTACATTATAATGATAAAATACAATCGACGGGATTAATTACAACAATGAGTTTGCTTTAATCTAACATGATATTACATTTATGGACATTTATAACATAATATATTAAATAATAATAATTCATAAACTAAACTGCATTGGTATATGGATTATGTTATTTGATTTATTATGTAGATAGTAATATTGAAATAAAACTTGTAATACTTAAATAATTGTCAATAAAATAGCGGAATATGATGAAAGGATCATGGTTAAGTAATTTCATAGAAAATAAAATTCACTACTATTATAAACAATGTCGCTTATCTTGATTTGTTTTATTGTAATCAATTTTTTACTTGCAATATATTATAATTTTTCTATATGTATCAAATCTTAGCGATTATTTTCTTTATATTATTTAATTAATTATAACTAAACAATAAATTTTGTATACAATTAATTTTATTAAAATAAATCAGTAAATATACGTTGTTATTTGATTTAAATTTATTATAAACTTTAAATTACTTTGTGATTTTAATAATAATTTTACCAATACAATATTGAAACAAAATAAATGGTAAAGAAAATCACTCGAAAATGTTGAATGTTGAAAATCACAAATATTAACTTTTTTGGGGATATTGTCAAAAAGTGATGAACAAAAAATGTGTAAAACTGACCATATTTTAAGGTATGTTTCTAAATACAGGCTCGGGAGACATTTATATATAACTTGTAAATTGTTACAACTACTTCTAGCTAGTTAGCCGTTAAAAGCCTAAGACCACGACCAATTCAATATGTGAAAATTTTAGATGGCATCTACCATGGTCATTTGGTGCAGCGTTATTTACTACCCGGTTCTGAATTAAAACAAATATAAATAGCATTTTCAAATATGTTATTACCTTTGTGAAAAACACCACTCTTGAAGTAAATCTAACAATTTTTAAATTATAATTAGAGATAATTTTAAAAAAATGTGTATTGAATATTGTTTACACCGATTTGTTAACAAATCCGAAACAAAGACAGCCAATCAAAAACGATATAACTTTCACTTAATTTCAAAATCTACTTATATGAATGTCAAAAGTTTAAAGTAAATAAAAATAATTAAAATCCAGTAATACTAATGCAATACATATTATAAGAATTAGTTAAAATAAATTAATATTATTTTATTTACAAATAATTTGTTTGATTATTACATGTACTACAAAAATGTTTTAATATAATGAAATTTAAATTAAAATATAATAATCACAACTAGACTTGCCAGATGAATTTTATACGAAAATGGATTTTCATTATAAAACAAGTTACAAAACTGGACAAAAACTGAACACATATTTTTCGAAATAAATTTTACATTTTATTTATATTTTTGAGAAGTATCACAGATTTGAAATCTGCTCTTTGATAATCATTTTGTTGTGTTTTTATATAAAATATTTATATGGTATAGATATTAGATATTATGATTTAGATATTATACTTAGTTTATATGAAATTTTTATTTTGCTAAATAATGTAACCCAAATTTTTGTTGTAACTAAATATAAATTATATAAGCGCACAAATGATGTAAATTTGTAGCAAAATGTTTATATTTTTTAATAATTTTAAAACGGGACACATCAATGTCCAGTTTTACCCCTGCACTGGACAGGACCATCAAAAACTGGACAATCCAGTCCAAAACTGGACGTCTGGCAAGCCTAATCACAACACATAAAATACTGTCAGTAATCAAGTTATGAACTAAATAATTAACAATAAAATATACCCACTTTAGGCACTACTAATTCTAAATACTAACAGTATTAGAAACATAAGATAAAATTCTGTAACTAAAATTTTACACTTACAACTTCTTAGACTTAACACCAAATAGAAATAAATAATTTTGTCAATGAAAATGGTAAATATCTCATAAATGTCCTAAAAAATAATAAGATGCACTACCATATAATGATTAAATACTTTGCTCTCACACTACCTTGAAAATGTCCTAAACACAATCGCTGTATGTTAACCTTTATGAACGCACGTTTACATTATAAATGTTAATAGATAATGCATTTCACGCATAGTATATTTAATTTAGAAATCATATAAATAGTTGGCTTTAATAGCTTTAATTTATTTCTTTTTTATGTTGTTATTGTTTTAGTCATTAGTATAATAACATTGTGTTAATTATTAATAACAAATTATTAGTTATATTTTGTTCACATAATTATGGACTTAATTAGCAATATATGGTATACTCATCCGTATATTACAAGCACTGTTGTGATCATCACTAGTATTGCAATGTAAGTAGAAATATATTTATTAAGTTTTAGCTATTATCAATCTGTAAAGCAAACTTGACCATATTCTAAATTAAAATAATTATTTACAATAGCTTAACCATAATCAAACAATAACATAAAAATATAGCCTAAACTATTATAAAATGGAAAATAAAATATTTATTTCTAAACTAGATACTTAAGACGACGATTCACTTACTGGGCCAGGCATGGTGTGCCCGGTCCGTGCTATATGGAAATACCCATGTTCGAGCCACACCACGAATACACTCAGCGTGCGTACAAAAAGTACGGCCGAGTGTACGGAGCTTACGACCTGACCCGGCGCACCATTGCCATCAACGACCCGGAGCTGCTCAAAGACATTATGGTGAAAGACTTTCACATTTTCCCCGACCACAAACATTTTCACATGGGTAGCTCAAAAATCAACCAGAGTATTTTCCTATTGCCCGGTAATGACCAGTGGAAACGGATCAGGTCAATCATGTCACCGGCGTTCAGTTCGGGCAAATTGAAAGCCATGATGGCCCACATATCGGACTTTTCCGACACCTTTGTCAAAAATCTGGACCAATATGCTAAATCTGGTAATTATTATTTTAATGATTATTTATATGTAATATAATAATTAAAATTAAATAAGACATATTACATAAGTTATTATTAATGGTAACTTTGATTAGGAGTATATTTTTATTGCAATTAATATTTCAGTAAAATATTTTTTAAAATCCGCTGAATAATTAAACTCAAGTTTAAAAATATGGTAATTAATTAAAATTAATACAATTTTATATACTTCATTCACAAGTAACCCAAATTTAAACTAAATATTAGTTAGTATTGATTCTTAAAACTTTTTAAAAATATTATTACAGTTATAAAATGTAGTAATGAAACATATAAATTTAATAAGTTAAGTAACAATAAGTAAAGAAATAAACAATTAAAATTAATTATAGAAATTATTTTAAAACAACTCTAGCTGAACCATTTAACATTCGGGACAAGGTGGGCGCGTTCGCGATGGACGTAATCAGCGCGTGCGCGTATGGTATAAACATAGACTCGATCAACAATCCGGACCACCCGGTAGTGGTCAACGCCAAGAAAATACTGGGCGTGGACTCCGGGTGGCGGCAAGTGTTGGGCATATTGGCTCCGGGTGTCGCCAAATTTTTTGGTGTAGAATTTTTTGACATCGATGCGGCCAATTATTTTGACACACTTACCAATCAAATACTTAAGGAACGCAAACATAATAATAAGTACACGAATAGCCGGCGCACGGATTTCGTGCAACTCATGATCAACTCGGAAAAGTCAAACACAGACTTGGGTTACGACAGCAATAGTGATGTGGACGTCACACCCCAGGAGGTGGCCGAGGGGGCGGCCAAAAAACCAAAGGGCACTCTAACACCCGACGAGTTGACAGCGCAGGGTATGCTTCTGTATATCGCCGGTTATGACACGACCAGCGCCTCCATAGCCAACGCCGTGTTTTACTTGAGCCAAAACCCTGAGTGCCAGCGCCTGTTGGCCCAGGAGTTGAAAGCGTGCGATGAGTTTACGTACGAAAAGTTGGTTCACTTGAAGTATTTGAATGCAGTTATCAATGAAACAGTACGACTGTCGCCATCGCTGACCCGCAACGCCCGCGAGTGTCTCCAGGATTATAAGTTGGGAAATACCGGTATGTTTTATAAATATATTTTTAGAAATCAGTAATATAGATTGTGAGGATGTGCACTATATTGTATTAGCTATAATCAATTTGTCTCATAATTACCAGGCATAACGATACCTAAAGGTACGAGTGTCGAGATATACCCGCACGCCATACAACGTGACCCTGAGTTCTGGCCCGAACCTGATACTTTCAAACCCGATCGTTGGTTTGAGCCCAAACACCACCCGATGGCCTTCCAGGCGTTCGGCGCCGGACCCCGTGTTTGCATCGGTCAACGTTTTGCTATGAATGAGATGCGCATGTGTTTAGCCAAACTCATTCATCGATACGACTTCACTCTGGCCCAGGAGCCCAAACTAGAGTATTTTAATGGCGTACCTCTTATGTCACCTAAAAAATTAATTGTTAAAATCCAATCTAGATAATTGTAACAAAAATTTGTTTTGCACACACATTTTGTGATTTGTTTAATGTAATTTTAATTTAAGTTAAAGTATTTGTAGTAACATGTTTGTAAAAACATCAAAATTAAATTATTTATAATAGATTAAATATTTGCTGCTTTGATAATTAACTTACTTAACCTCACTTAAAATGTTTATAAAAATAAACTATAAAATTATTTCCATTAAACATTTCATTAATTAGTACAAAAATACACTAATTGGAAATCATGCACTAAACTTGTTTTATCCATCAATATCAGCCATGGTTGTAAAAAACACTTATATTCTACACCCAAACGCTATTTACAAATAACAACTTTATTGTTAAATAGTACTTTAGTACATGTACTTAAGTTACCTTGAAAATGTCCTAAACAAGAATACTTTGTAAACCAGTATGAGTAAACTATCACGCATGTTTGCACCAAAACTAACTTTAGTGCATGAATTCAAAATCATATAAATTGTTTGTCTCAATATTTGGGAATTAATAATATTTTTTACTTGAGTTAAATATTTAACAATAGGGAAATACTTGCAAAGTTTAATTTTAATTGTCACTTTTTTATATTATTTTATTTGTAATTTATAATTAAAACTATGGATTTAATTAATAATATATGGTCTACCTATCCGTATATTACTAGCGCTGTTGTAATTATCACAAGCATTGCAATGTAAGTATTAATAAATTGTACCAAGTTTGACCATTATTATTATCATTATAAAGAAAATTTTCTATGTCTTTATATAAGATAAATAATTAATTCTAATTTAAAATTAATAATTTTAATTTATTACCTAGTTATATGAGATGGCGATTTACCTACTGGGCCAGACATGGTGTACCTGGTCCGAACTACATGGAAATGCCCATATTTGAGCCCCACCACACTTACGTACAACGATCGTACAAAAAGTATGGTCGAGTGTATGGGGGCTATGACCTGACCCGGCGCACTATTGCCATCAATGACCCGGAGCTGCTTAAAGACATTATGGTGAAGGACTTTCACATATTCCCGGACCACAAACATTTCCACACGGGCAACTCTAAAATCAGCCAGAGCATTTTCTTTTTACCCGGTAACGACCAGTGGAAGCGGATCAGATCAATTATGACCCCGGCATTTAGCTCAGGCAAATTGAAAGCCATGATGTCTCATATATCGGACTATTCTGACACATTTTTAATTAACCTGGATAAATATGCTAAATCAGGTATGTCATAGTTTTTTGTATTAACTCTCAATAGTATCGATAGTAAAAATAACAAGGTCTTTAGTTGATACGAATACAGTATTACTTATAAATGTTTTTTACAATAATTATTAACATTACTTATAACAATGTCATTTATAAATCATCTAGGCGAAGCATTCAACATACGAGACATGGTAGGCGCGTTCGCGATGGACGTAATCAGCGCGTGCGCGTACGGCATAAACATAGACACGCTCAACAACCCGGACCACCCGGTAGTGGTCAACGCCAAGAAAATACTGGGCGTTGACGTCAATTGGCGGCAAGTGGTGGGCCTATTGATACCGGGATTGGCCAAAATGCTCAAGCTAGAATTTTTCGACATCGAAGCGGCCACTTATTTTGACAAACTTACGAATCAAATACTTAAGGAAAGGAAACACAATAATAAGTACACGAATAGCCGGCGCACGGATTTCATACAACTTATGATCGACTCGGAAAAGTCAAACACAGACTTGGGTTACGACAGCAATAGCGATGCGGACGTCACGCCCCAGGAGTTGGCCGAAGGGACAGCCAAAAAACCAAAGGGCACACTAACTCCCGACGAGCTGACAGCGCAGGGTATGCTACTGTATATCGCCGGTTACGATACTACCAGCGCTTCCATAGCCAACGCCGTGTTTTACTTGAGCCAAAGCCCTGAGTGCCAGCGCCTGTTGGCCCAGGAGTTGATAAAATGTAATGAGTTTACGTACGAAAAGTTGGTTCACTTGAAGTACTTGAATGCCGTTATTAACGAAACCTTACGCCTGTCGCCATCGCTTGTTCGCAACGCACGCGAGTGTCTTCAAGACTACAAGCTGGGAAATACCGGTAAGTTTTACAATACAACTATTTAACAACATATTTAACTTAATAATTTTTTATCATAATTTATTATAAAGGCATAACGATACCTAAAGGTACTAGTGTCGAGATATACCCGCACGCCATACACCGCGACCCTGAGTTCTGGCCCGAACCTGATACTTTTAAGCCGGATCGTTGGTTTGAGCCCAAACACCACCCGATGGCCTTCCAGGCGTTCGGCGCCGGACCCCGTGTTTGCATCGGTCAACGTTTTGCCATGAATGAGATGCGCATGTGTTTGGCTAAACTCATTCACCGATATGAGTTCACTCTGGCCCAGGAGCCCAAACTAGAGTATTTTAATGGCGTACCACTTATGTCACCAAAAAAATTAATTGTTAAAATAAAATCTAGATAATTGTGAAATTATTTAATAAAAATTTATAGTATTTGTAATCAAATTTCAACAAATATTTAATGTACTTTTTATTTAAGTATTGCATTATAGAATTTTATCAAACATAAAAATCAATATATTTTTTGAACATTAAATATTTGCTACATTATAATAAACTACTTAAATAATTTGCGTTATACAATTTGTATAATATTATTATTTTTAAAATACTAATTATAAATAAAAATGTCAAAATAATAGCGTTGCCAGAAAATTTATGCATTTTCTTGAAAATATAATCATTTTGCGCAAATTTCCTGGATTTTAACTTTTTAGTTACTATAAAAGCACACATTTTAAAATTTTGTATAATTTGTAATATAACAGCTATTGTGTCATAATTACAGTAATTTTTAATATTTCAAAAGTGTTTATAACAGTATTGCACAACTATTGTTAAAGACATAATAGCAGAGTTATTACATTTAACAGCATCTAATTGAGCTAATTTAGGATCTGCTTTTAATATTGAGTAACATTTTTTTTGGTGATATTAAAATGTTACCTTTAAGGTATTCCAATATAGTTTGATTGCACATGGAAAATTCTAGTTTAGTTATTAATTTAGCCAGACACATTCGCATTTCTTGTTTAACAAATCGTTGACCTAGACATATTCGGGGTCCGCTGCTAAAGGGTATGTAAGCATAGGGATGGTGTACTGGGTTTAGGAATCGGTCGGGTATGAAGTCGTTAGGGTTGGGCCAAAAGTCTGGGTCCCTATGCAGAGCGTATGGATAGATCTCAACCGATGCGCCCTTTGGTATTGTTATTCCTATTAAAATTTGTTAAAATATGTTGAGAGAAAAATATAAATATATAATATTTATAATAAGTAACTTATATTATAAAATACCGGTATTTCCAAGTTTGTAGTCCTGAAGACATTCTCGTTGATAACGTGTTAGTGAAGGCGCGAGACGTAGTGTTTCATTGATAACTGCGTTCAAGTATTTTAGTTGCGATAACTTTTCGTACGTAAACTCATCACAACTTCGCAACTCTTCGTATAGTATTTGCTGACAGTCCGGGTGTTTGGACAAAAAGTACAGGGAGTTTGTTATTGAAGCACTTGTCGTGTCGTAACCGGCTGTGAAAAATGTCAAACCCTGGGCTACCATCTCGTCCGGCGAAAGGGTTAAATTGTATTTTATTGTCGACACTCCACCGACGGACTCGTCGTCCACTTCCGGTTCACTATCGGAATGAGAGTTCAACTCTTTGTCCGAATTTTCCGCATCTAGTATTAATTGTATGAAATCTGTCCGTCGTTTGGCTATAAAATTACAACAAACATAAATTTACTATTCCATACATAATACAAATAATATATCATTTATATAAAGCTTTACATTTATTATTATCAGTGTATTTGTTTTTCAATTTTCGTTCAACGATTATTTGTTTTGTGAGTCTATCAAAAAAAGCAACACATTGTTTATCAAACGGCTCGAGATGAAAGAGTCGGGCCAACCCGGGTGTCAACACCGACAGTATTGTGGGTAATTTGCTGGTAGACGCGAGTAGACGTTTAGCATTGATTACTATGGGATGATCCGGATTATTAATTGAATCCGTTTCTATGCCATAACCACAGGCACTGATCACATCCATGGTAAACGCGCCCACGTAATTGCGCATATCCACTGGTTTTCCTATGATTATCAATTAAAAGCCTATTATTTATCATCAATATATTATAAACATTATTTATAAATAATTTAAGCCCATCTATTAAAATCACACGCAATTCTAAAATTAAATTATAATTCGGGAGACGCATCAAATTTTTAATCACATTATTTAAATATTTTTATTTTGTATATTTTGTCGATAAATAGCTTCGGCCCAACCATACTATAAACCAGCAATGGGAACAAATACGTTTTTCCCATAAAAAATGTTTTGAGCTAATCATTATAAACGTTATAATGATTAACTAAATATAGTGCCCTTGAATTGAATGCATAGCCATTTTATTCACCCCTTCCTTTACATTACTATAACACAATATATGAGTGGTTGCATTCTATATAATCACATTTGGCACTTTTTTGGCACTTTCGCCCGTTTCTGCTATAAACCAAATTTATGGTAAATCATTGGTTGTAAATCTTTTTGTTTAATTGCTAATTACTCACTACAGTAAACTACAACAGTAAAATAATAAAAATAACTTTTATAATAGAAATTAATAATAAATTATACCGTTTTTTTCTAATTCAATCAGAATTTGGACTAATTTGTCGGCAATGCCGCCGATGCGACCTACAGTAAACTACAACAGTAAAATAATAAAAATAACTTTTATAATAGAAATTAATAATAAATTATACCGTTTTTTTCTAATTCAATCAGAATTTGGACTAATTTGTCGGCAATGCCGCCGATGCGACCCATCATTGCCCGGAGTTTACCCGATGTAAACACCGGCGATAGTATAGAGCGCACACGTTTCCAGTCATCGTTGCCGGGCATAAAAAATAAACTCTGGCCTAATTTTGAGCTACCAAGGTGCATGTGTTTGTGATCAGAAAACACAGCGAAATCTTTAACCAAAATATCCCGGAGTAGATCGGGCTCATTGACAACAATGCCGGGTTGGCTGCCCAAATAAATGCCATGTAATCGCCCATATTTTTTTATTGCGTCTGCAGTATACTCATGGTGAATACAAAAAAATACATTAAATTCCGGGTAGTTTGGCCCTGGTACTCCTTTTCTAGACCAGTATGTGCACAAGCGTGTCAAATATCTAGTATAATAATTATTAAATTATTGTTCTTATGAATTAATCCTAAATGCCAATAAAGACAAAATGACATTAGGTTTACTTACATTATTAATGTGATAATTAATATCACAAATACGATTACATAAACGCTTATATTCATAATTAATATCGTATTTAACTTACTAAATATAAAATTTATAGATTACAAATTTATTTATTTATCAATCTATAGCACTATAGCACAATTCGCACGAATTACACATTTATGTAATATTTAAACTTATTACCTATTGTTTATATTTGGTCAATTGATATTATATAAACATCCAGATGTATTAAAAGATTTTGGAAATAATAATTATTAATTTTAATACTAAACACAAAGATTTGTCAATTGATATCCTAAAACAAAAAAATCAGCAAATAGTCAAAAAGTATCTGAATAATATACAAATTAAGAAGAATTGATATTATGTTTTTAAGATGATTAAAGATGATCTATACAGTAAATCAAAAATCATTTTAATGATTTATGAATAGTTCCTAAATTAATCCTAAAAAATATTCGAGCAACTCTGGCTATTTAGTTGATTATTTTAAAAACTTAAATAGAATATTTTCTATAACTAAAATAATTAAATCTGAAGGAGAGAGAGAGAGAGAGAGAGAGAGAGAGACTTGTTTTTTAATACTCATGAATAAATAAACTAGACAATGATAACTATTTATTAATTTGAAGGACTATTAAGAATAAATCCAATAAACAACATTAGTCTAGACAGAATTGTGGTTAAAAATTGTTATACAAACGAACTAATAAATCAAAATTATAATGAACAATTTTGAAAATGAGATTATTTTAATAATGCTTTTATAATTAATAAGACTAAAAATTGAAATTTTCAAAGAGTAATTTGTCAACAATTTCTATTAGTTTATAATCATACAATTGTGATTCATCAATTGCCGAGCAATTCTTATTTATAAAACATTTGCATTTCATATTTAAATAAATTGTTTATATAAACTGTTCAATATAATCTCAAATATAAAATTAAGATTCAAAAATCGTAAGTTATTCAATTGCCCTTGAAGTTAATAATTATAGATATAAGTTACTAAGCAAATAAAAACGATTATTTTTATATTTTTTATAATATTATAAACATAAAATCAATTATTATTTATATAAGCTTTTCATAACACCCATGACTAGTGTGTCCAGATAAGAAAATCATAATAGTGTAAAATAGTTTATAATATCGGTTAAAATAGTGTACACATAATGTCATAATATATATATTACATTACAGTGTTTTAGATTTACTAGCCTTTAATAGTTCACATCACAGCCTTTACTAGCCTCACACAGCGATGCTATACGTTAACCACAATTCGGGTATAGCTATAAGATTAACATAGGATCCCATGTTATTTCCCATAGGGTGGGGGAGGGGGGTAGCCGAACAATCCTATAAACCACATAATTCATATCTGAATTGTGGATAAAAATAGTGTAGAGTAAGCTCAAATAATACACTGTTGCAAATATGGGGCACCTGGTCAGTCTAGTGAACCTAGACAAATGAACCTTTAGAGTTTATATGCTTATAAGTTAAAATAGCATTTTAACTTTAATGCATTTTATGACATAAATAGCATTTAATATCAATTTAATCAAATATCGTATGAAAAATAGATAATTAATAAAATTTAAGTATAAAATATAAAATAATAAACGTTAATAAAATATTAATTAAGCTATATATACAATAGCAAATCTTTTATTAAAAATGATTGTTAAGTATGATAAAAACAAATCATTATTATATAAAATGTTATTTAGAGAAATATTCACTCCAATATTTACAATTATATTATCAATTAATTTTATAATAATCATGCCTTATATAATTATTCATAAAAATTCTTGTTTAATTGATACTTTGGCATATGATTTTAAACAAACAATAATTGATGCTTGGTCTTCAATCAATTGGTATGTATTTAAGTAAATTATTATTTTATATATAAATTGAATTAATTAATTAAAGTGAAAATATTTTGTGTATTCATACTGACTTTACAAGCTTAAACTTGGATATTAGTAACCCATTTGTACTTTGAATTTGTATTAAATAATTAGTCACTTATGGTAATTAATTTTAAAAAATTAACAAAGCATTGTCTGATAAATAATGTTAATCCTATTGGACTAATGTTAAGTTTTTAACATCGGATTAACATGGGTCATTGTGACTAAGGCTAAGGCTAAGACTAAGGTTGGCAATATGACAAATCACGTATTTTACGTACGTAATTTACGTTGTATTTTACAGTGTATTTTACGTACACAAATTTTTCATTTTGTAAAATACGTTTTTATAAAAATAATAATCGATTAAAACCAG